AGGTTTATCCATGTGGTAGCATTTATCGGTGCTTTATTTCTTTTTATGGCTGAATAATATTCTACTGTGTGGCCATAACACATGTGCATGTCCATTTATCAATTCATGGATGTTTGGGTTTCTTCCACACTTTTATTATAAATAATCTTGCTGTAAACATTTGTGTGCAAGACTCTGTGTGTGGGTACATATTTTCCTTTCTCTTGGGTAAATACTTAGGAGCAGAATTGCTGAGTCATATGCTATATCTATGTTTAACTCCTTAAGAAACTATCAAACATTTCCAAAGCACCTATACCATTTTACATTTCACCAGCAATGAAACAAAGCATTTAATTTCTCCACATCCTAGTCAACATTTGTTATTGTCTATCTTTTTTTGTTATATCCATTCTAGAGGGTGTGAAAATGTGTTTTTAAATTGGCTTTACTAATCCGCACTTCCCCTGATGTTGTATATCTAATACCTGCTTCTCTGCATCCTCACCAACCGTAGCTATTATCAGTCTTTTAAATTGTTGCCTTGTGAATATTTGTGTAAAGTTACCTCATTGTCGTTTTAGTTTGCATTTTCCTGATAGTAGTGAATGAACATCACTTCATATGTTGACAGACCATTTTAATTTCATTTTCTGTGAATTGCCTGTTCACATACTTTTTTTTAACTAGATTGACATTTACAGACATTCGGTATGTAATCCAGATATTGCTGTATATGTAATATGCCTTAGTCTGTGACATTTAACTTTTCTTATATTTTGTAAAAAAGCATTTAATTTGCACTAGTTAAATCTGTCAGTTTTCTTCATTATGGATTTTGGGCTAAATGTTATGCTTAGGAAAGCTTCCTTCAACCCTAGGATTATAGAAATATTTCCTTATATTTTCTTCTAATAATTCTACAGTTTTGCTTTTATGCTGAACACTACTAAACCTGGAAATTATTCTTACACAGAGGAATGTATATTTGTTTCATTCCAATTGCCCCCAAACTTTTATTTTTATTATTATTATTTTTTTATAAAGTCAGGGTTTCACCATGTTGGTCAGGCTGGTCTTGAACTCCAGATCTCAGATGATCCACCCGCCTTGGCCTCCAAAGTGCTTGGATTACAGGCGTGAGCCACTACGCCCGGCCACCCCAAACTTTTCATATTGGTTATCCTTTCCTAACTGATCTGAAATAAAATTCTGCCTCAATCGCTGTAAATTTCAACATGCAAATCAGTCTTTTTCTGGACTTTGTATGTCACTCCATTGATCAGTTTTTCTCTGAGCCAACATTGGTCCCATCCAATTGCTCTTGCTTGAAGGTGTGTGTTGGTATCTGCTCTGGTAAATTCCCTTTCATAACTCTTATCTGTAAGGAAAATATCTCAACTAATCTTTATAAGTGTAATGAAAATATTTCTGGTTTAACAAGACTTCATACTATAAGAAAAATAAGGTAGAACCACATGAAGGGTTAAAATGGAAAAACAATGATGATTTTACATTTTTTAGCTCTGACATTACTACAAGCGCAAGGACACGTTTGTCCACGGGCAACTTTCTTGTGTACCTCTAGAGCCAGATCATGTGTTTCTATGCTTCATCCAAAAAAAATAAAAATAAAAAAAATAAGGCCTCCTTGAAAGGCACACAGTCCTATATCTTGTCAGAATTAAAAAAAAAAATAGGATGGCCCCCAACACCCTACTGTTGTAACAAAGTAAGAATGCTGTCATAAGTGTCAAAAACAAAAGAATAAGCTTGAAGGGCTTCCAGCCAAGCTGTAATATTCTGAGTGTCTGAAAAAGGAGATGAAAACATAATTTGAGTTTCTAAAGGGCCACACATTCATAGAGACTCCAAAAGAAAAAGGAGTTCTAATATAAAATTAAGATGATTATAGGGTACGGCTAAGGGACTATTCATATATGTATGAACGTTTTGTTTGTTGTATGAAGAATACACATGTTCGTAAACCATAGGTATGTGTTTGTTTCTAGCGATGCTCACAGGAAAGAAGAAACAAACGAAATCATAGGATAGACTGGAAAAACACAGTAGAAAAAGACAAAAGAAGCCAAGCGCAATGGCACACACCTGTCAGGAGGCTGAGGAAGGAGGATCACTTGAGGCCAGGAGTTCAAGACCAGCCTGGGCTGTAACATAATGAGACCCTGTCTCTTCAGAAAACTTTTAAAAAATTACACAGGCATGGTGGTGCATGCCTGTAGTCTCAGCTATCTGGGAGGCTGAGATGGAAGGATCGCTTGAGCCTGGGAGGTCAAGGCTGCAGTGAGCCAAGATGGCGCCACTGCACTTCAGCCTGGGTGACAGAATCCTGAGACTCTGTCTCAAAAAAATGTAAAACAAAATCATCATCAGCGGTCACATATAATAAACACAAATAAAGGAGTCCACTTGATCATATATGATCACAGATTAAGGAGAATCCAGCAGTTATGACCAAAGATAATAAATAGCCAAATATCCCAGAAACAAGAGTTCACCACACAGACTTGATGATTCTTACTATACAAAAATCTCCAAATGATCCTAGTTATATGAGATATTCAGAAGGCATATCTAAGTTTTCAATAACACTAATGGACAAGATCAATAGATCATAAAGGCAAGACAATGAGTAGGTCAGGCTGACCATGCAAAATGAAAGCATGAACCATTTCTGGGAGGGACACCAAGTTTCCAAAATGAAAGAAGAAATGGCAAGATATTAAAAAATCCATGACAAAGCAAGGAAGAATTAATTGTAACACAGGACTTTGGATATCCAGAGTCCATGGCCCATGATTGCAGCGGCTAAAAGTGCGCTGCCAGGCCCTCTGTTTTAAGAATCGGTCAACAACCCATATCTTGCTCCTAAGTGAGCCTAAGTGGGCATTTCTTTCCTTTTAGTCCTGGTAAAATTACTGCAAGCCTAGGAAATAAGAGTGTAAGTGAATACCTAGGAGAATATGAAAATAAATACGGCCGTAGTGGTAGGAAAGTGTTTTTAAAAGTATAAAACTAATGGACAAATGGCCAGGCATGGTGGCTTATGCTTGTAATCCCAGCACGTTGGGAGGCCAAGGTAGGAGGATCACTTGAGGCCAGGAGTTCCAGACCAGTCTGGGCAACATAGTATGATCTTCTCTACAAAAAAAATAATTAGCAGGCATGGTGGCGTGCACCTGTAGTTCCAGCTACTTGGGAGGCTGAGGCGAGAGGACAGGTTGACCCAGGCAGTCAAGGCTGCAGTGAGCTATGATCACACCACTGCACTCCAGCCTGGGTAACAGAGAGACTCTATCTCAAAAACAATAATGGACACAAAGCTTGCTTTTAAAAATGGGTGTATGTAAGTTATTTTCAAAATGTGCTAACCATTGTGTTCAAGTATAATCAATATATTGTTTAAGGAGTTTATAAGGTTTCAAACAATCAGATATTCTCAATCTATAGTTGCACTTTAGGCTATTTGAAGGGATTTAATTAATTCACAATACATGTTTAAATGCTCAAGAAAAATTGTTGTTTCTTTCTTCCTTCTTTCCTAATTCAGTCAAAAAGCCACTAGGCAGTGACTGGGTGGTGAAGGTGGCAGAGGAAGGCCAGGGGATTGAGAAAATAAATAAATGAATGGCAGACCGTGGAAGCCAGGGTTGTCCCTGCCGGAGGTGGGAGTGACCATTTCGGCAAGGGGGAAAATAACATACCACCCGGATGGGATTGGAGGGATCAATGTGACCTCATGGTGTTCTATAAATATAGATGTAAAAATAAACATCAATGCAAATGTGTGCATCCGTATTTACACTTAGACAGACACGCACGGATACAGATTGAGGGGGTCCAGGAGTGGCAGCCCTGCAATAGAAATGAACACACTTTCAATAAATAAGCGAGTGTTCTTGGTACCACGGTGAGTGGTAATTATCATGCTAGAAAATCTAGGAGCAACTGGGAAGATATTCAAAGGATCCCCAGTTGACAATGAGACTACGTTTTCTCATGAGACAAAACAAAAGTAGAAACCGTGATTGTTAGGCTAGCTCGTAAAGATTTTATTTATCCAAAGACCCTGGAGGTAAAATACTTCATTTCTTATGCTGGAAAATATATGCCAGGTAGTATTAATACTTCCAGTATTTTAAATCTTACTAAACACTTTAATTGCCCTGTCTTCTTTCAAATCTTTACCAATACTGTAAAACACACACACACACACACACACACACACACACACACACAGGTAATGGTCCAATTAAATGGATTGACAGCCTCAACACAGTCACATGGGCAAACTGCCTAGCTATTAGGATGCAGCTACTGCTCAAATCATTTTTGTAATCTATCTTCTGCACTGGCTTTAGAGTTCATGGTGTAACCTTAAAGGTAGTAAATATTTACTCTCCTCAGTAGATACAATGCTTTAAAAGAGTCCAAAGACACAAGAAGTTGGGTGATCAAGTGAGTAATAATTTGTAGTTGAAAAATAAAGGCATAATTATAAAATGACTTGAACCTCCAAAGCATTTTAACCAGTAGCATAATGCAATCAGGTGTATACTTTTCCAGTCTCTTCTTTGAGGAATAACATTAATTTAGTTGAATAAGCAAAAAAACCTCATTATCACACTTCAGACACGACATACGTACTGGGGTCAAACGCACTCAACGAAGGCCCTTCCCAAACCATGTCCCCCACTGTCCTACCAAACTACCTAAAATTCACAATACTTTGAGCTAAGAACTGACGGCTGCTGCTAACGGGCCATATGGTCTATTGCAAAGAGTAATTGACAGTGCCATAAATACCCGAGGATGACTCTTTGATATGATGAACTATCAGCTTGACTCCCACAAGGCATTGGACATAAGCGATTTAGGGGCAAGGCTGTCAATTAGGACAGTCATCAAAAGGGAGACTCTGGACCCACCTCTCACCTTTGCACTGAACCCTGCCCCGTTCTGTTCCAGATGCCCACCTTCAACAGATCAGACAAACATAGTTGCATGGTCCAAGCATGTGGTGATTTTTATTAAGAATAACTTTGGTTCTAAGAATTCCACCCTCAATTCTTTAATACTTTCCGTTAAAAACAATTATACAAGAGCAAATACAAAAAATATTAAATTATGAAAAGCAATCCATTAAGGCTCCCTTTATATATATTATATACACTCAAACAAGTCAAGGTTTTTCAGAGTAGAAGAATAAAGTCGACTGTTATAGCTTAGAAAGCAACACTACGACTATGAGACTATAAAACACTGAACTATTTTAAGAAAACCACACTGTGGGAAAATGGAGCCATTTTTGTCAAAAAGTGGCTCAAAGCACAAAGCTCGGATGTTCAAGAGTCCTAGGGGTTTGCGCTGCACAGTATTAAGGGGTGAGAGGAGGCTGACGGCCTGTGTCAATCAGGCTTGCGAGCCCAGCTGATCTGACAACTTCAAAGAGCTTCCCTGCCTATACATTCCACCATTCAGCATAAGACACCACTTTACGCTATTTACAAGTCTCCTTTTGGCCAGATTTTATATTATGAATTACAAATAATCCTGCAGATTTGAGTGATATTAAAAAAAAAAAAAAAAAATTTTTATTAAATAATTTTTTTTTTTTTTTTCAGTGAAGAATGAATTCTAGTTAAGTTCTAGGAACAGAATTGGTCCTTCTAAAGGAGACTGTCAGGGCCCTTGTGAATTTGATCACGTGGCAGAATTGCTTCAAGAATACAGACCTCAAGATCTGACATCTAGTTAGATAAAAAGATATGAGCCAGTCCCGAATCTGCATTTTACAAACAGCGTCACTAGTCCAGAGGAAGAACTCTAGTCAACGTGCAATCAGAAGTGGACTTCTCAACACCATCCGTCATCCCTTTCTTCTCTCAAAAGGAAGAACGATAGAAAAAAATAGTTATCATTCCATTCTTCGAAACCAAGTTACTATAGAGCAACCATTTTTCTTAAGCATCTCTTATTTTATTCAAATAATACTTGCTGATGAGAAATAATCCATTTCAGGTGTAATCAGCTGACATGTTTCCCTAACTAGCAGTATATTATCATTGTGTTTCCTTTTGTTCCCATTCGGATTGAATATGGGCCTAATTGTCAACTGCTAACATTAAAGCATTGCCATAGAAGGCTAATTTCTACTATGCTAAAGAAGGATTCCAAAGCTCTGGATCCAGCTTTCTGTGAGTTTTCAAAAGAAGTACGAGAAGAGTCTCCCATGCAGAAATGACTGGCTGAATTGTCTCTACGGAGAGAATACGAAATCCCCCAAAATTCTTCCGTATCATCAGGCAGAAGGTACCGGTGCCCACACTGGCAGTTTAAAACTAATTCTGCATGAGAATGCTGCTGCTGTCTGTAACTCGGCCCCCTCTGTGAGGAGTGGGCTGCTAGCTAGAACGAGGGAACTCAGCAGCCCCTCCCTTCCTGTCGGCTGTTCCTGAGAGATGCAATACAGTAGTCATCGACATCATCTGTGTCAACAGCGCCATCGCTGAGACAGTGGCAAAACAGTCTTTCTTCACAAGAAAAAAAAAAAGAAATAATGAGCATTAGACACTTTCAAAGCTTGGATTCTAATGATATTATCATTAGACATCCAAATGCTATAAGTCTTCTGATGAAGCCTCCTTGAGACCAATCTACACTTATTTCACATTCAAATACCTAGAGAAATCCTCACTGCCCAGCTGGTCATGGGAACCTTCCCCACACTCCTCTGGGAAGAGTGAAAAGGCGTGGGGCCTTCTACTTCTGATGCTGAAGCTGGGTTACAGGGACTAGCTCCACTCTCTAAAGGACTGGAAGATTATTCCATCTAAAAGAACTAGCTCAGCAAGAGATTTCAAAACAAAACTGAACAAAGACCCTCCTGGTAATCAAAGCAATAAATGAACGGACAGGATGTACCTTCTGGGAACTGGAATGTCACTATGTAGCCTACTGTTATCACACAGAGAACCAAAAGGAATCAAAGTAAAATCAAGATGGGTGTTTACAGGCTTTTAAACCTTCTCACCCTGTTTCTAAATTTAGTGCCAACAAGGGTAGTGGCTGTGCTCAACATTAACAATCCTGCTCTGGTGTTAACTGTAGCATGGGTGAAAGTATAAATTAAACAAGAAGATTCTAGATGCTCAAAATAAAATTACAAACAGTGGGTGCACAGATTAAATGCATTTCTAGGTGATCTAAATTACCTAAGAGATAACAAAGAGGAATTAAACACTTTTTTTTAGCTTTTAAAAGAAAAAAGGCTCTGGGTCCCACTGAACTTGGACTAGAAGAAAAACCAAGTAGTGCAACTCTCAAGAACTGATTCCAGTGTCCGCTTCCTCTCACTTGTTTGGTTTGTTGGTTCTGGTATGTCTCTGAACACAGCTCCATCATTCCAACTTATGTGCGGGGCACTGCCCTTCATTTGGCGAATAGGAACGGCAACTGTCACAGCAAGGCAACCACCCAGAGAGTGGGAAAATCAAACCAAATCCTTCTGAAAGTCAAGATTCTCTGCTGGCTGGAATGTTCTCCAGGGGCTTTTGCCCTGAGGTTGAGGAGGCACCCACAGACAGCTCTGTGGGGTGACAAGCAGGGACATGCGGGATCTTAGTGCAGCCTTGGCCTAGGACTCCTGGGCTTGGGTGACTTCTTGGCCTGTTCTCCTGAGATTGCCTTTCACCTTCACAAATTCGGGGGCATTTTCTTGCTCTTCTTGCAGTTTCTGCTTCTCAAGTTCAAGCTAAATGAAATTCAGGAAAGGAAAAATTATTGACAAACCAAGCAGCTTTTCAAAATACTCCTCTCTCTTTTCAAAGTCCCTGACCACTTTTTACTGCCCCGTGGAAGAAATTCTCTCCTGATCCCCCACTTTTAAAGACAAATGGATGGATAGAGTCTGGGTAATTCTGCACAGAAACAGAAGCCACTTGGTTGCCATTGCAAATAGGGCCACGAGATGACAAGAACTGAAAAGACAGAGCTAAGGAAACAAATCCTCAGGTCAACACACAGCTGCTCTGGAGTCTTCGTAAAGATGAACTTTGTTAAATCACTCCAGCACACTGTGTGAATTCAGTGCCATGGCCCTGTTTTGCTTTTGCCTCTGGGATCTCTTTCAGGTCCTCAGTAGGATTCTTGTCACTGCTTTGAATGTATTTGACCCCATTTGCTGGCATTGGTCTCCAATGTTTCTTTCACAGTATAAATGTATACACGACATGTCTGGTAAATCCTGCCTGCTCCGACACTCCAACATTCGTCAGGACCAAAAAAAAAAGACAGCTTCCAGCCAATCCCCCTTACCTGCTCCAACTTCTGCTGCCGTTTTAATAGCTCTATTTCCAAGTCTGATTTCTTCTTCTGTGCTTCTTCTTCCTTCTGCTTTATTACTTGGTCTCGTTTTCTTTTTTCCATCACTTTTTGCAATTCTGGTTTGTTCTGAGGAGCAAGACCCCTGCAAAAAAGCATTAACAAAAATTTAAAAAAAAAAAAACATTAAGCTAATGGCTACATTTTTTATGAACAGAAATTTAACCTACAATTTTTTTTTCAGTTCTTTTGTTTTTTTTACTCTTTAACCTACAATATTAACCACAGAAAAGAGGTCTACAGAATTAGTGTGATACCTACTAGGCTACAGTAGGCAACATGGTGATCTCAGAAATTCACCAGGGTGAAAGAAAGGCAAGAGGAGATCTCCAAAGAGAACATAAAATCCATTCATTCAGGAGAAATGTATTGGCCACCTGCTGTGTGAAAGACACTAGGCTACGTGAAGGAGGGCGGTGAGGGTGGGGGTGCTCGTATGATGACGCTGACGGGTGCTCACGACAGAGACAGAGATGGAGGTGGAGCAGCTCAGGAAATGAGGGGGCTCCGCATGGAGGGGAGGCTTCCCAAAATCTAGCCCCTGATTTTTTTTTTTTTGAGACAGAGTCTCACTCTGTTGCCCAGGCTGGAGTACAGTAGCACGATCCCGGCTCAATGCAAACTCCACCTCCCAGGTTCAAGCAGTTCTCCTGCTTCAGCCTCCCAAGTAGCTGGGATTGCACGCATGTGCCACCACATCCAGCTAATTTTTGTTATTTTTAGTAAAGATGGGGTTTCACCATGTTGGCCAGGCTGGTCTCAAACTCCTGACCTCGTGATCCGCTCACCTTGGCCTCCCAAAGTGCTGGGATTACAGGTGTGAGCCACCGTGCCTGGCCTCTAGCCCCTGATCTTAGGCACTAAAGGCAGCCTCAAGACCAGCTAGCACAGAAATTTAGACAGTAAAATGGCCCTGGAAACATTCCCACCCTTCACTTTTCAGATCTGAAAGAGGGTTCTTGTACATTTAAAGGCACATCCAAGGGTATATTGTTACTGAAGGATATGGCCATCCAGAGCCTTGATCCCCTAACTCCCAGTCCAGTGCTCCTCCACCGAAACCCTTTCAGGTATCTAGTGAACTAGGCACCCTCCATATGAAATAATTGAGGAGTCAAGGGAAAAAACGTGTCTTAGCATTTTCTCCAGTGTGATCTCTGTCTGTTTAACTGTTAGAGTAAAAATCAGTATATTCCATCTTTTTGTTTTTGTTTTTTTTTGAGACAGGGCTCTCTGTTGCCTGGGCTGGAATGCAGAGGCATGATCTCAGCTCACTGCAACCTCTGCCTCCTGGGCTCCAGCGATCCTCCTACCTCAGCCTCCTGAGTAGGTGAGACCACAGGCAGATGCCACCACGCCCAGCTCATTTTTTATATTTTTAGTAGAGACAGGGTTTTGCCGGGTTGCGATGGCTGGGTCTCAAACTCCTGAGCTCAAGCCATCCACCCGCCTTGGCCTACCGAAGTGGTGGGATTACAGGCAGGAGAGACCACAGCCAGCTAGTGTATTCCATCTTTAATGACAGAGGACACACAGTCAGATTAACATATGTCTTCAATTTCCCAATTTTCATTATCAGAACTTTCTATTGGAAAAAAAAAAAAAATTGGCCAAATTTCCAGTGAAACAAAAGAAGCAGGTAGCTTTTGTGATTTAATTATGGTTTGTTTCACAGTTATCAAGACCAAACAAGAGGGTCAAAAATATGAAGAGATTAAATCTTTAATCAGCACCGTGTAAGTTGCTCTGTTCAAAATAAAGGTGTTATTAACCACAGGAAAAGGTGTTTTCAAGTAATCTGAATAAATACTCAGTTTCATGACTATTAAGAAATCCCGATATACTGACAGGCAAGGTGGTTCACACCTGTAATCCCAGCACTTTGGGATGCCAAGGCAGGTAGATCACGAGGTCAGGAGTTCAAAACCAACCTGGCCAAATTGATGAAACCCTATCTCTACTAAAAATGCAAAAATCAGCCAGGCATGGTGGCGGGTGCCCATAACCCCAGCTACTTCAGAGGCTAAGGCAGGAGGATTGCTTCAACCCGGGAGGTGGAAGTTGTGGTGAGCCAATATCATGCTACTGCACTCTAGCCTGGGTGACAGAGCAAGACTCGGTCTCAAAAAAAAGGAAACCTGATATAACACTACAGACAGAATTAAGGGATTTAAATTTTAGGATTAAGAATTCAGCTATCTGAATAATTTAAATTTCAAACATTTTTCTTTCCTTACATTTCACTGGCAAAATTAACTTCAACCATTACTAAATTCTTCTGGATTATGCAAAAGCTGCTGAACATTTGATGTATGGCACATTTGGCTGACACTGTATTGCAACCTGTGAATGGGTTTCAGTGTTATACAGTATTCATTTCCCTATCAAAGATCTTATACAATAGTGACAGTAAGATAAAATATGTAGCAACAAAAAATTTAGGAAAATGGTGCTTATATGATAAATATTCTCTACTTATAGCAGTCAAGAAGTCATAGAAGTTTGGTTAATATTTTATCACAGTGGATTACTTAACTTTCTGTGCTGAATGGAAAAAGTCAGGCATTGCCCATATAATTCCCTAAGCCTAAATGGAGCAGAGACAGTGTCGACAGACAGAGATGAGCTTCTCTAAATTCTGTAATTAACCATGATACCAACCCTTGCGTGAGAATAGTTGGTTCTCTTTAATCAATTCTGACATACACAGCTAGCAAGCACTTTCAACCCCCTTATGACAGTAACACCCAAGAGCAATAGTAATTTCCAAATCAGCTTCTTGCTCAGAACTACCTGTGACTACTAAAGTGGGCAAAGCCAATTTTAAAAATTATAAAATTAATAAGTATTCTTTGCAGAAAAAGAAAGGTAATATATCCATATGTTAAATAAAAAGCAAAAGCTCCATTAAACAAATCAGAGGAGCACCATCTCTACTGCAAAAGTCCTATTTGAACAGTGGCCCCAAAATTAGGCAAAGTAGAGGCCCTGTACCCATCAGCCACTACCTATTCCTACATCCAGAGATAAGCATTACCGACAGTTCGGTCTATGTTCCTCCACACTTTCTATGCCTATGTGAACGTCTTAACATCTGCACAACACATCATAGCACAGGAGTGCCACAATTCTGCGACACCCCTATTGACAAACATCTAGTTGGTTTCCAATTGTTCACTATTAAAAACAACGAGGCACTGAGCCTCTGTGGACGTTTATAGCTGTACTCTTCTACAAGTATTTCTGCTGGCTAGAGTTATACATGTGGAATGGCTGGCTAAGCATCTGCACATTGCATATTTTGATGAGTACTGCCAAAGCGCCCTATGAAAAGGCTGGAATGATTTATATTCCCACCACCAGAGTATGAAACATATGGACAACTTTGAAAGGTACATTTCACATAAACCACTAAATATATTCAAGGGCAGACGGGGAGAGTCCACCTCCATTCCACATCTACCTGAACTCTGTGTACCTATGTATTCATAAATGAAGTCACTTTCTCAGCTGGGAGAGTACTCAACCAGAGGAAAGGTTTGGGGCTCTGCCCATCACAGAACATGCCTGCCCACCTAGCCCAACATCTCCTGGCCTAATTCTTTTTCTTGGGGTAAAGGGAAAAGTTGCATTTGAATTTCAGCCCTTGTTCTTTACTCTTGCAATCTTCTGGTTTGGCCTGTGTCATTTACATTTCTGAGTTAGTCAGTTTTACCTGCATGGATTCAAATACAAAACTTGTATCCTTATCTCTAGAATTGCCTCCATCTTTTCCTATGTTGTACAGCTGCAAGTATTTATTGAAGAACTCTCCGTCTAGCAAAGCATGCCAAAAGAATGTCAGCTAAAAACAAGGAACTACAAGCCACTGGCTTGGAATATACAAGTCAAAGAACCAACTTTAGGGATATTTTTAAGTGACCTATTTATTCCAAAAAGTACTCTTTGTAGAATACAGAATCTCTCCAAATTATATCAGAAATATTCTTAATTTTTTTTAAAGATCCCTCCAATAATAATCTTTAACAACAACAAAACGTCTTTTGAAATCTGCCTTTTTATACCATGAAGAACACCTATAGAAACTGAGACCCTGACACAGGGTTTTAACAGTCAGACCTAGTGGCTTCAAGACTTTTAACCTGAAACTAAGCCTGGCCCCAAAGATGGTAAACAGAGGAGGAGGATTATATGCTAGAAAGAGCACAGGCTTCACACTTAGACGACTTGTGGGTGCTTGTTCTCTTAAGCAGAGACTTGGCCTTTAACATATAATCTCTAAAATATAACTGGAAAAACTGTCTGAACTGCTACTGAGCTTTGAGCTAAATTCGTAGCTATGCATAGCAAAGGTACAAGCCTCCATGTAAACTTGTTTTTATTTCTAAACACTATTTCAAAAACTGTTATGCGATCTTGAGATGATTCCTTAACCAGTTACCCTAAGATTACTCCTACCGTTTCTCTCTGACGTCAAAGCCCACGTCCTCTCTACATCATAGTACTTTGGGGAAACGTGGCATTCTCTCAGGTTAGTTGAGCTGGGCAAACAAGGAGAAGAGAGAGAGGGCCAGACAAAGACAGAATGGAAGTGCTTTCTCTAAAAAATGTGGAAACAGACTCAACTGCACAAATCTGTAGGTTTTACATCAATATGACCCAAACTACTAAATACATTTTTGCAGAATAATTTATAGCCTATAATTTAGAGGACACTTATTCTGCAAATGTTGGTTTTACTCTGACCTCTATTCTGACTTGGAGCCCTGTCATAGGCTTCCTAGAAGAAAAAGTTTGAGCTAAAATGTTTCTTACAGAGCAGCTAAGTCCCCTACCTTATGCTTTATAGATAAGGAACCGGAGACCAAAGAGGTGAAGGTAATCTAAAAATCTGTGAGTGAGAGCTGCTACTCTGTTTTGAAGTCTACTAAACTGACGACCTTTCCACCAAAATGAAGACATGACTTCTCAGACAGGATAGGATGGCTTCCAAATTCTGTGGTCTATTTTAGGAACTTGATAGTCTTATTTTGCTTTGGGCATAATAATACCAAATTCATGTATTCTTTCTTCTATTGTGTGACAAAGAGAGATGGAAGCTTATTAAAAATGATCACTTATTAAAAATGATCACATTTGCATTCAGTTTAATAAACATTAATCCAACAGCTTCCCAGTATATGCTGGGGATAAAACAGGAGCAAGCCACATTCCCACACTCCAGAGGGAGAAATGTATTTACAAAGAATTCCTGGGATACGAGTCATTAGCTCTAGCTGGAGTGTACTCTCAGGAGAGAGAATTGCCATAAAAATGCCCCCTGGATCCTCTTTCAAACATTGTTTAAGTTTAACCAGGCCTCCCTCCAAAATGACCCTATTGCTGAACTTGATCTGCATATCTTTCAGTTCAACGGTAGACCTTTCACCAGGGCTCCGCAGAGTGGGAAAATTAGCCATCCATTACAAGATCTGAAAATAATCCTAAATGAAGCTTCCTGGTTCTTAAATTGAAAAGTAGCTGCACATCCTCATTTCTCCTAGTCTCCTGTCCCGCCCAAATTACTTAAAAAGCAGAGCACACCAGCCCCACATCCAAAATTATTTATGGCACAGATGGAGTCTACAAAGTAGATAGAAGGTAAATGTTATCCTGTCCTCCAAAATAGTTAATAATAAAAACTGTGATAATAACCATTTAAAATGCTACTCAAAAACAAAAACATGAGTGGTGTCCTATCTATTAAGTCTAATATGGTTCTAGAGACTTCTCCCCATCATTGACAAATGCTTGATCAGGCAATAGTTACGTGATTCCTACACTTCCCCCAATGGAAGGAGAAAATTCAGAGATTGTAAATTTAAGAATGTGTTTCCCTTCTACTTGGGACATTCTCTTCTATCCTTAATCCAGCCTCTTCGTTCTGGATTTTGCAATACGCATCCACTTTGGAAGGACTGCAGGAGTCTGGAAGCACTGCCCGCCACTGCAGTGACAGCTGCCGCCTGCAGGGGCTCTGCCTCAGGGAGGGATAACCTGGCACAAGGATGTGAGAAGGAATAAGGAAGCTTTAACAAAAGGCAAGAAATCAAACACTCTTTGAAGTCTCTGTAAATACAACTAAAATTAAATATCATTATCTTAAAAGTCCCCTAAAAAAAGACTATGCTCAAGAAACCATTTTACCTTTTTTGATTCATAAGAAGTTCTCTGTGAAGATCTTGATGGTTCCGGGAGGTTTTGACAGGATTGATCAGTTTCTGAGGCCTAATGAGTTCAGGATTGTCATCTTCGATGTAGTCTGGCTCAGCCATGATGTTTCTTGGAATGAGATAGGAGTCCTTAGGGTCTGAATTCTCAGGTGGGCCGTCTGCAAGAGAAAGATGAGAAATACTCATTTGCGGTCTTTTCTGCTAGGGTTTCTCCCTCACATTCAGAGCTCCGCAGATCTGTGCTCACCATCGAACACATGCCACCCTCCTGGGTCCGCTCTGGGGCATCACTGATACAACTTCTAAAGCACTTGGAATGTAACTGGAGGGGACAGGGAAGAGAATGGTGGCCTGGTCTCATCTTGCCCATGACTAAGGCCAAGGAGCCCTATGGCCTGACTTCTATCACTGCCACTGAAACATCTTGAGTTCCAGTCACACAGGATGCTTCCTGCCACCCTGTCTCCATATCACTTCAGAACAGGCACTTGAGTACATCAGAAAAAAGAAAGTTCAGCCAGGTGCGGTGGCTCACACCTGTAATCCCAGCACTTTGAGAGGCTGAGGAGGACGCATCACAAGATTAACACATCGAGAGCATCCTGGCCAACATAGTGAAACCCCACCTCTACTATAAATACAAAAATCAGCCGGGCGTGGTGGCATGCGCCTGCAGTCCCAGCTACTCGGGAGGCGGAGGCAGGAACCAGGAGGCGGAGGTTGCAGTGAGCCAAGATTGTGCCACTGCACTCCAACCTGGTGACAGATCGAGACTCCGCCCCCCACCACCCAAAAAATACAAACAAAGTTCAAATGAAAATTCTAACACTAGCCCACAATGGCTGCAGTCAGACACATGCGTCAGGAAAGCCAGGCCTATAAACTAAAGCCAACCTCTTGCCTGTCTAACTGGAGTTTGTTAAATATTTCACTGACAGTCATTGGTTATAAACCTACTTAACAGATACAGAACAAAGACAAGATGGAATCGATCACCCTCCACCAGACCCTAAGAGGCCTAACCTTTCTCCTACCCACTCAGCTGCGTATTTCCCTTACCTTATGCATAGCATCGCTGAGCGCCAATCACAATCACAGGACCTAAACTGCTGCTTCACTGCGCTTCTCCCACCTCTGTGCCACATGTATTCCTAATAGAAAATACGAGGCCGGGCGCAGTGGCTCATGCCTGTAATCCCAGCACTTTGGGAGGCTGATGTGGGAGGATTGCTAAGGTCAGGAGCTCAAGACCAGCCTGGGCAACATGGCAAGGCCCGTTATTAAAAAAAAAAAAAAAAGTTTTAAATTTCCTGGGCATTCTGGCGTATGCCTGTAGTCTCAGCTACTCAGGAGGCTGAGGTGGGATGATCTTGAGCCCAGCAGTTGGAGGCTGCAGAGGGCTATGACTGCACCACTGCACTCCAGCCTGGGTGACACAGCAAGAGCAAGACCTCATATCTCTAAAAGATTTTTTTTTTTTTTTTTTTTTAATGAAGAGGTTGGGCACAGTGGCTCATGTCTGTAACCCCAGCACTTTGGGAGGCTCAGGCGGGCAGTTCACTTGAGGCCAAGAGTTCAAGACCACCCTGGCCAATATGGTGAAACCCTGTCTCTACTAAAAATACAAAAATTAGCCAGATGTGGTGGTGCATGCCTATAATCCTAGCTACTTGGGAGGCTGAGGCAGGAGAACTGCTTGAACCTGGAGGCAGAGGTTGCAGTGAGCTAAGATTGCACCACTGCACTGCAGCCTGGGCAGCAGACCGAGACTCTGTCTCAAGCAAAACAAAACAGAAAAGGAAAGAAAATGTATATCCATCGTGCCTCCCATAACTGACTTTGAGACACACTCAGTCCACACCGAGTCTGTACACCCAGGCTTAAGTAAGGCCTCAAAGCTGCCTCAGAATCAGTCTGTGATTTCTCTAAGTTTTAGTGCTTGTTGTTTCACCTGTCGGCCAAGAGGCACCAGACCCAGGTCGTTATCGCTTCCTTCAGCCTCAGCAAATCAACCTGTACTACAAACATATCAATGCTGACCCTGCACCAATGGCAGAGGTTTCTCGTGCCCGGCACGGTGCTCGCTGGCCTGTGACACTGCTGTCTCCTTCCTTAGGCACTATGTGGGTTTCAACCTGCTGTTTTCCTTCCAGGTCTTTCCCCAAGCATGACCTTCTCAGAGAGGCCTGCCCTGACGAAAAGTACGACCCTGCCCCCAGCACTTCCTGGTGTTACCTTCTGTCCACCAAACTACAGCAACATCTTTAGAAAGTTAATGTGAAAATAAAGAGAATGAGAATCCAAAGACTAAGTCAACTAAAAAATAATGTAGCTGCAACATGTGTTTAAATATCTTAAGTATCACTGCATGATTAAGGCTCAAAATTATCAAACACTAAGGCATAGATAATAAATTATACCAAACGCTCCTCAAACTCTATCTGAATTGATCTTCACAAGAATGCCCGAAACCTGAACGTAATTGACAATTACAAACCTCGCAGAGGATGATTCAGGGAACCCATCACAGCCAGCCTGACTTCAACGCACTGTCCCATGGAAAAACGTGCTCCTAGGCTGAAATCCTACATGCACACTACACACACCTCTATGCAGCCACAGGAGTCTGAAAAACCAACCACAGTTTCATTCTAGTTAATTATAGACAAGACAGCTGCACATTTCCATAAAAGGCTCTGTATCTCTGCCCTACGCCATGGATAATCTCCATGATGTCACGCCCAAACAGACAAATGCCTCTGACCTTGACCTAACTATTATAGTCGGGGAGGAGCTGGAGGCAATGTGACAGAAGAGCAGGCTGGTGATCAGCAGCGCGGGAAGAGGGCGTGCAAAGGCCACGGGGCAGGAGGGTGACTCGTGGGGATGAGGAAGGGCAAAGCAGCCTAGGTGGTTGCAGGGGAGGGAGGGATGCTGAGGACAGAGAGTGTGGGTACTTGAGGGCCAGTGCCAGCAGTGCCAGCACTCTGGTCGTCATCCTGAGGGCCATGGGAAGCCATTTCCAGGTTTTGAGCAGAGAAGTGACAAGATCTGACTCATAGGTTCAAAGATTACTCCAGGTCCTAGGTTCAGAATGGGCTGAAGGCAGGCAGGCAGGGAGTCAGGGCGGTAGTTACAAGGGTCATCCAGGTGAGAGATGCTTTAGACCCGCACAACCATAGCACAGGTGGGCGGGGAGCCTGATTCAAGGTGTATTTTAAAGGTGAAGTCTCTGGGACTTCCTGAAGGACTGGACACGAGGCGTGAAAAGCACAGAGGCATCAAGCATGACTCAGAGGTTTCTGGCCTGAGCAACCAGAAGGCTCGAGTTGCCATGATGGGCGGCTGAAAGAACAAGTCCATCTGGGTCATGTTGAGTCTGAGATGCGTGATTGACATGGAAGTGGTGACAGCAAGGCAGGAGCAGTCAGCGCTCAAGCCCAGGTGACTCGCTCTCCTTTACCCGACTGACTGGCCCCCACGGTCTCAGGCTTTGCCCGCCCTCCTCTTTCCATCCCCTCTCCCTCTGTCCCTCCACTCCCACTACTCCCACAACTAGAGACAGCATAAGATGCCCACTCCCAGCCTTTCCTGAAAGTCAGGGTTGGTATACAAACATGCCGTGGGCCTTGCTGCCAGGAGGGACGTTGGGCTTCCAGCGTGCAGCACAGAACAGCTCTAGGTCTGAGTCCAGGAAACAGGCCCTCTCTTGGGACTTTTTTCTGACTTCCCTTTAGATTTAGTTGCTTGGAAGTATTTCTTCTCCCATAGGACCAGTGGGGTGAGGGGCGGTCGAGCCTGTCTCCTATTAGAGAGACACAGGCACTGGGAGCAGGTGCAGAAGGGGAGCGCTGTGGTGGACTTTTCAACCACACAGGTGCCCTGCACAGAGGTGTGTGTAAGGCATCTAGCATTTCAGCCCAGGAGCAGCACGTTTTTCCGTGGGACAGCATGTTGAAGTATATGTATATGCTGTCAACACGGCCAAACTTCTTCCTTCTTTTTCACTGGTTTGTCCTTCTTCACAGCTGGAGCTGGGAAAGGGGGCACAGAAGCCCCTCGGTCTGATTTAAGCATGGAGACCTAAGCCTGGCCTCAGAACAGGCGGCAGGGTCCTTGCAGCTCCTCATGCACAGGCCGCACTGGGGGCTGGAAAATGTCATTTAGTAACAAAGGGGGTGAGCGGGCCTGGAGCAACCCCATCCTTGAGTCTCTGTACTCCAGGCAGTGGTGGTGGAGAACCATGTGGGATCTGGGTTCCAGCTGCTTCTCAGCGATACCCTACCCTGCAGCTGTGATGAGCACACAATAACCATCACGGTGACTTTTTCCACAACTCTCTTCCCTCTGCCAGCCATCTAGCTCACTGCTACCAACGCTGGAAAATACAACTTTGGTGTAAGGGAACGCTTGCATCTCACGAATCCTATCTTCAAATCAAACTGAAACAAACACTCTTGCTCCCCACACCCTCACACCCCGCCTTCCTCCCCCGCATCTTACAGCAGCAGGGCTCCCTCAGAAGGCATGCTGAGCCTTTTCCCGCCACGGCCCTAGATCTCCACGAAGCCAAACTCACACATCCTGCAGATCCAAGTAAATGCCACATCTGCCTGATGCCTTCCCATATTCTACGGAATGTTCTTTGTTCTCTTTTCCTAAGTATTCGTCGATCGTCACCTTGTATTACAGCCATGTAGATATAAATCTTACCCTGTCTTCACTGCAAAGAGCATGTCTGGTTTATGTTCCTATTCCTTTGACCCTCTGGACTTGTTCAGTTAATATGACTTAAATGAAGTAGCAAAGGCATGGGCTAAGGACAGAGGGTGCCCCTGAGCCACCTGGATTCCACAGCCACAGGCATAGTGCAGAAAGCGGGGTTGAGTGGCCAGGTAGATTTCCACACTGAGCATCAAGGAACCCAGGAGCCTGAGAATAAAGACGCGGTGGAAATGTCTGGAGGTGCAAGCACTTTGCAAGCAAATGTTACCATTGACATGAGACAAGGTTTCTAGAAATAAACACAATGATAACCTTGTCGCAGTCACCTCAGTGGTCAAGTAACTTATTCAAAGTAATTTACTTTAAACATAGCAAGTCAATTAAGGAAAACCAGGACCAGCTCAGTGAAGGAGAAATAAAACTGGTTTGAGAT